AAATTTATCCATGTTCTTTATTACTCATTAAAGTGCAAATTTCCCCTTCCCCCATATTTCCTCCCTCTTTGTATACTTCAATTCATTCCATATTAATTGTTTTATATGTCATAATATTTACGCTTTAACAAATAAAATAAATCTCTAACATATTTTCATTTCGTCTTTTCTTTTATATACATATCTTGTGAAGGTTTTATTAAACCCTTTTGAAGGTTTTATTAAACCCTTTTGAAGTAAAGAATGTAATTCTTCTTTACATAAATTCATATATATAGAATTCATTTGACATGGTCTTGCCTTAGTAGGAATATCCTTTTCATTAAAATTATCTTCATAAGGAAGATTAACTAAATGTTTCTTTCTATTCCAAAAAGCATTTGGGTGATCAGCACATACTGATTCTTGAAATTGTATTGTAATATGTTTTATTTTTTCTTGTAATTTAGTATTACTCAATAATTCAGGTATTGATAAATTCATAATTTCATTTTTAATGAAAAATAATTGTTTTTGTTTAGCTTCTATTAATGTCCTAATAGACCTTGTTATAGGGTCTGAGACAAACTGGAAATTTATTGATTTATCTTTATAGGTTCCTGTAAAACCTTGAAAATTAACTTCTTTGAGTGGATATAACATACATAAAAATGGAAGTCCTAATATAATAGGCACTCCTGGCATATTTCTTACTAATAAAAATGTTTGCGGAAGACAAATATTATCCTGACAAACAAAAGCATTAGGCAATTTATATGAGATATCTAATGTATGATTGGATGCGGATTTTAATGCATGCGAGGTTTTTTCAAAATATTGCGTAGGTATTAACCCTTCTTGAACACAAGACAAATCAGCACCACTATCAATCATTGCAACAGTGTTTAAGACAAATTGTCTATCTATCATTAGAGTTAATTTTATATACCATCTTTGAGATGTAATTATTTGTATTGTTTTTAGGAATTCATAATTATGATCTTCAGATATATTTTCAGCTAAATTCTGAATAGTTTGTGGATCAACTATAGAGGTTTCACCTGATTGTGAATACTCAATTGTTTTAATCCTTTTTTCTAATAATTCGTTATTTTGTTTCAAATATTTTATTTCATTCTTTATATTATGAACTTCTATTTGTAAGTCTGCAATAGTTATAACTGAAGAAGATGATTCTTCTTTATTCAGTAATTTTTTCATTCTTTTTTCTATTTCCTGCATTGAATAAGGATTATTATTTAAAACTATATCCTTTTTATTAACTTCCTTTTCTTTTTTATTAGACATATCTATCATTTTAATTATTTTATCACGAATATCATGATCTGGTATTTGTTTTAGTAATTCTAAAACATTATCAGTTGTTAACATATTAAATTGTAAATCTTGAAATTGAGATATAATATTGTAAAGACTATTATCCTTACAACAATCATTATTATTATCATTTTGACATGGAAGACATTCATCCGAAGAACTAGATGAATATTCATCATTTTCAAGCATATTATTTTCTGAGCTATTAGTTTCTTCTGTTTCAGACTCAGTATCTGATGCTTCTATTACTTTGCATATTTGTTCTTTAAGTTGTTCATCTATTTCTAATAATCTAATTCTATTTATCTTTTTACAATTAGGGGCAATATGACCCTTTTGACCACATTTGAAACATTTTATGTCTCTTTTATTTTTTCTATTAATTTTTCTAAATTCTCTTTGTTCTTTTGTTCTTTTACGTCGTCGTTTTCCTTTAGGTATATAAGGAATTTTATTTTTCTTCATTCTTTTATCCCTATTTTCTGGCCCAATATCCATAGCAAATTGATCACAGAACTGACCTAATTGTCTTCGTTCTGATAATTGTTGTCTTTTAATTTGTTGATTTAACTTTATTTCATTACATAAAGCTAATCCTTCTTGTGTGCAAACACCTATTAGATGACCATAAGTATAATCATCATAAGGAATGTAAGGAAAATCTTTCCTAAGAACTTTTCTTATTCGTTCAGCAAACAGAGTTGGTAAGCCATCTATAAATTTAGCTTTCCAATAAGAGCTATTACTTTCTGGTAATTCCATGACTCTTGATAAGAATGAATCTTTATACCATCTAAAAGAAGTAAGTGTTTTACACTTAAAATTATTCAACAATGTTCGAATATTTTCTTGATTATTAGTAAATTTTCCAGAAAAATGTTCTAATATAGATGCTATCAAAGTATATACTGCATCTTCCATCATAATGGGTGTAGATGTTCCTTCATTCTCAATTTTTACTGTATTATAAATTTTTTGTCTATCATTTTCAGTTAAATAATTATCCCACCATCCTTTAAGGACACCAGTAAAACCACAAACAATCATTTTTGCGATTGTCTGATCTGTATTACCATTTGCTTTTGCAACTGAGGAGTACATTAACATCCTATGCACCATATTAGATAATTGCCTATCAGTAAATGCGTCACAATTCCATTCATAAACAGAACGACTACTATAACTATTAGTAGTTTCTTGATGTTCTTCATAAAGAAGATCTTGTGGAGAAGGTCGAGGGTAATAATAATGATTCATATATGGTTTATTAGCAAATTTATTATGTCTAGATTTATTAGAAAGACGATTTATTTCATCTCGTAGAGTTTTATCAAAATCTTTCTGCATATTCTCAGAAAATTCTAAAGTGGATAATTTAAGGTTTTTAAATTTTTCTTCCAATAATTTTTCTAATACATGTGGAGATTCAAGATTATAATCTTTTACTATAGGAGGAGGTTGTATAAAATTTTGTATTTTAATATCCTTATTTTTGTTTTCGATCAAAACTGGTTTAACTGTTTGTTGAAGATTGTTTATAAGAGAAAATAATTTGTCAACTTTATCATGTAAAGAATTAATTTGTTCTCCTAAAATTTTTACATATAAATTTGTATAATTATTTTGCTGAATAAATTTATTTACTAAAGAAACAGTAGAAGGTAAAACTTCACTTTCAACCAATTTTTGAAAGGCGGAAAAAGTTATATGAGTTGCATTTGCTAAAACAAACTCTTTTTGGGGAGGGTAAATTCCTTTTGTAGTTTTCCCATCTGCAAGATGATATTCTCTTTCGAGGAGGAAAATATATTTATCAAGATAAGTGATTATAAACCACGGGACAAAATATATTATTTGATTGTGAAAAGAAGCATATTCATAAAATTCTTTTTGTATAAGTTTTTGATTTTCAATATTATAAGTAGAAAAGAACCATTCTCTGAAAAGTTTCCACTTTCGATTGAAATTCTTGTCTTATTATTTGTCTAATATTAGATCCTGGACTAAAATCTAATTTTTCAAGATTCTCCATGATAACCCATTTCGAAGGTGAAGGCATATCCTTATCAAATGTCTTACTATCACAGACCGAACAATATTATATGGATTAATTTTTACTTGATTTATTCTATTTGTTAGATCTATTTCGGGAATCGAAGATGTCGAAAATTTATGAGAATCGATTGGATCTATATAAGATTTAAAAGATCTTTGAGAGATGGATCTTAATAATTTAGGAATTTTTGGTTTATCAAAAGTAATACTTATCTGACCATTATCAGATTGTTCAATTTCTGTAACATTACTACTTGTAACATTATGAGTTAATGAGTTTCCTTTAATTCCTTTATTAATTTGCCAAGACTCTGGAAATTCAATTTCTTCCCATTTAATAGTTTTACAGTACTAATTTGAGATTTATAAAAATTAGTTTCTATTAGTATGGTTTCATCAGATGGTTTACTTATAATCTTACATCTGGGTGTTAAGGTATTTAATAATTTAAAACAAATACGGTAGTGTAAACAAATAAGTTCACTTCCCGGTAAATAATTGTAACCATGTAATTTTACATTTAAGGTTAAAGCATCGAGTATATTAACATCGACAATGATAGTGTAAATTTGGGTAGACATTAAAATAAACTGGACCATGAGCTAATTTGGATTTGTATTATGCCCATTAGGGATTGTTTCCAATGTAAATTTCTACCATCACGTAAGGCAAAGCAACAAAAGATTCGAGTAAACCTTCTAAAGTTAAAGGTTTAAATGCAATTTGCACCAATCCAATATGCATGAACTTATAATTTTTATGAGATCTATAAGATTCAATATCTGTAGCAGACAAAAGTTGTAAAACCCTTTCATCAGAATTTAAAGCAATTGATTGTTCAGTAGTTTTAACTACCTGTTTAACCAAGTATCGATCAAACATACCATATTCATACAAAGTATTAATGGGTACCTTTGGTATTGACCACTTATTAAGAAGAGCAAGCTGTTGAGGCATATCATATTCCTCTTGAACTGAATTTTTTATTGAAGTACTTTCTAAATTATTCATTTTAAATTAGGTTCTGAATCAAACAAATCTTTTGTAAACATAAAAAATACATAACCGCTCTGATACCAAATTAGCGTGAAGGTTGTTTTAAGTTTGTTTTAAGTTATAGTTTGAAGTACTCAGACAATGTCTGAGTAAATCCTTTGTCTGAATCAAACATTTGGCTTTTGTTTACATAAATTATACATGGAAGCTCTATCTCCTTCTTCTCTTTTAATTAAAATACGATGATTTGAGATTGGTTCCAATCCCGAGTTCAGTCGGAAAACACAACAATAAGTGCATCGGGCTGGAAAAGTACCCGCTATGATGAATTGTTTAAGGGGAAAAAGAGGCCACATGATGCACAATAAGTTGTGGATTCCCAGACAGGCTTGAGAGTTGGGTGAAACTTTTCCATGCATCTCGATTATTGATATTTTAATTAAGGATGGATAGAGATTTTGATCCTGTAGCTGGCTGACAAGGCATAGCTCCCGGATGAATGGTATCAGCCAGGGTGGTGGTTTGGATTCCGGCCTGGTTTCCTTGCTCGTCTGTTTGCCTGGTCTTACCGGCTAAGATAAGCACTGGCCAGGCCCCAGCCCCACGCCAATAAATTTATCTATGTGCGAATTTAACATTTAGTTTTTAATTAAAAGAACAAACTATAAATGAAATTTTAGGAGAAATCAAAAGAAGGTGAAGGAAAAAGTATAATAATTTTACTTTCGGGACCGATAAAATGACAACCCAGCTTATATAGCATTTGCAATGTTTTATAACAAACGCTATTCACCATTTTATGGACTCAAATTCACTCTTTCAATTCCTTTTTCTTTTTGTCCTCTTTTGCAGAACAGAGACACAAAGATCCCAATTGGAGGGTTGAATTGATTATCATCTACGATAATATTGTTCAACAAGGTATTGAATCATACATATGCCAACTTTTTAGATTATTGTGGGTTTTGTTCTGCTTGCTTATAAGAAATGATTTGAACTAGTTAATTACTTTAAAGAAGTATGGAATCCACAGTGAGGTGAATTTGTTTAGCATCTCTCATCTTTTGGCTAAGCTATTCTTCTCTGTCGTCCTTGAGTTGTACGTTTCTCGAATGATCCAATGAAGAGTTATTAATTTTTCCCTTTTGGTGATTAATGGTATCAAAAGTTTTGAAAATTACATCTTAATTAAGTTCAAATTTTTTAGGGATGAAATGGAATATGTTGGTGAACTTGCATGAATTTGACAGGAACAAAAACACAGATAAATGGTATCGGTTTCGAATTTTGTAGGGATTAAATGGAATCTGTAACTCAGTAGGCGGACTTCCATGAATTTGCAAGGCAAAAAGGGCAGATTGATTGGGTTGGTGTATATGGTGGCTAAGGATGCTGCTCAAGTGTTTGATATAATTACCGAAAGGACTAATAGTCATGACATTATGTAGCTTAATGTGCTACTTCATTTTATAGTTAGATTCACTGCTAACTTTCCCTCAGCCCTTGATTTAGGCTCATTAAGGGCTGATGAATGAATGCAATCTCAATTGTTGATATGATCAGCTTATATCCTCCATCAAATTAATATGCCTCAATCTTGAAATCTAGCCACTTCATTTCCTTGCTTACTTGAAATTAATCATTATTGTTGTAATATTCATTTTCTTGCATTACATCCTTTGTCTTCACGTTCTCATTGAATAAAAAAATTGTACGTTTGGTTTCAGATCGCTACTTTTTCTTTATGTTTGTATCAAATCAGAACTTGGGCTTTACTTGGAAGGATTATTGAAAATTCACTTATTCAATCAACTGGGTAATTAAAAATAACTGGGTAAGAAAGTGTTTGAAACTGCAACGTGTGTTCTTCCAAGTACAGTAGTTTATGGATACCGGTGAAATCGTACAAATATGTTGGCTCTTCTTTTGCAGTGTCTTTTTTTCAGCTGCTCAAAACTATTTGTTTCTTTCACATATTCAAAGTTGTAAAAATTTGATTTGACAAGAACCTTATACTTTACGAGAGAAATACTTTTGTATTTGGCTGAGTTGGCTCAAATGAACTGGTTGAAGATGCCCCCACCAGCTTCCTTTGAGTTCCTATACTTGGAGTAACATGCTTTATTTGTTTAAGAATTTGATTATTTCAGAATGCACTTCTTTCATCCACCGCAGCCAATATTCCACCTGCATATCTGGAATTCCTTCATCGGTACTGGGTGTTCTCAGGTAAGATGACCATATAATTTTTTCTTTCTTTAACTTTTGCACTTTGTTCATGAAAACGGTAACTCTTTGCTTGATTGTATCCTTGCTTCATTATTTTGATTGAATATCTATCTATTTCTGACACACATATACCCATTGTACTTTTTTGGGTTCTGTGCAGCCCCATGAAGATTTGTACCCTAATTATTTCAACATAGATACTTGTAGAGATAAAATCCTTATTTTATGTATGTGTTAGCTTTCAATAATGACTTTGTCTTATATTTATTAAATTTTTGAAAGCCAACTGACAGCATTGTAGTTATTCATCTCATGAACATAGCTTTACCTGATTGTATTCCCCCCTCCCCTCTTTTTAATGAGATTTTGAAGATAATCTTATCGAAAAAGCCATAAATATCAATCATTTTTGGATTTAACAGGTGTTTGCTTTAGTGAACTTATGGAGGTTGCTCATACTCCTGAAGAACAATCAAAATTTGAAAATGTGGAGCAACGTCCGTACAATGGAAGTGGCACCATCAACGAGGGCAGTAATATTGAATCAATTGATTTGTTGCATCAGAATTTTGATGAACACTTGAAAAATGTCCATTCATCTATTCCAAGAGAAATGATACCAGAAATTGGCATGGAGTTTGAGACAGAAGAAGAAGCTTTTCAGTACTATCTGTTGTATTCCAAGAAAGTGGGATTTGGAGTAAGGAGGAGCAAAAGCCACAATGACAAATCTGGTAAATTGATTGGCCGAACTTTTTGTTGTAGTGCAGAGGGTAAACGGCAGCGTGACAAAAGAGATCTAAATGTGCGAGCACAAAGGCCAGAAACAAGATTCGGTTGTGACGCGAAAATGAAGGTTAATAGTTTTAAAACTGGAAAGTTTCAAGTGATAGAATTTGTTGCAGAACACAATCACTGTCTTCCAAGTCTTAGTAAAACACATTTGCATCGAAGTCATAGAGCCATATCTTCTGTGGAAGCTAGGCAGAAAATGGCTGATGACGTTGGAATTACACCAAAAGCATCCTTTGATCTTATGGTGAAGCAAAAAGGTGGCAGGGGAAATCTTGGCTTTATTTCAGAAGATTATAGGAATTTTCTCAGATCCAAGAGAACAAGAGAAATGGAAAAAGGTGATTTAGGTGGGGTGTTAGAATATTTGGATCAAATGCAGTTTAAAGATCCTAATTTCTTCCAAGCAATCCAAGTGGACATTGATGATTTGGTAACCAATATTTTTTGGTCAGATGCAAAGATGAGAAATGATTACTCTGATTTTGGTGATGTTATTTGCTTTGACACCACTTATCGGAAGAATAGGGAGGGTCGGCCTCTTGCTTTGTTTGTAGGTACAAACCACCACAAACAAATCACAGTTTTTGGTGTTGCACTACTATATGATGAGACAACTGAGACCTTTAAGTGGTTATTTGATACATTTGCTAGAGCCATGTCATGGAAAAAGCCTACAACTATCCTAACAGATCAGGATAAGGAGATAGCCGATGCTTTAGCTTTTTGTTGGCCGAACACTCATCAGCGACTTTGTATCCGGCACATTTGTCAAAATGCAGCAATCCACTTGAGCAGTGTTTTTACTAAGTTTAAGGCTTTCTCCGGTGATTTCAGTTCGTGCGTATATGACTTTGAAAAAGAAGAAGAGTTTTTGGCTGCATGGGATAATATGCTGCAAAAGTATGAACTTCAAGAAAATGATTGGTTGAAACACTTGTTTCTTTTGAAAGAAAAATGGGCATTGGTGTATGGACGCCAGATGTTTTGTGCAGACATAACAACCACACTAAAGAATGAGAGCTTGAATAGCACGATGAAAAAGTATCTGAGTTATAAGCATAACTTTTCCCAATTTTTCCATCACTTTGAGAAGCTTCTTGATGATCACCGATATAAAGAGTTGAGAGCCGACTCTAGAGCTAACATGAGCATTACGTCATTGGCAGCTCCTGTTCAAATGTTACAACATGCAGCTAGTCTTTATACACCTGAGGTATTTCAATGCTTTCAGGATCAGTGGAAAATGTGTCACGATTGTAGTTTTCATGTTTGTGCTGAAGATGGGATAGTAACAAAATATGAAGTCACTCCTGTAGGTAAGAGTTACTCACATATGGTCACTTATGATTCATTAAATGATGAAGTCCACTGTAGCTGTTGGAAGTTTGAGTTTGGTGGCATATTATGTTCTCATATTTTGAAGGTTTTTACTTTGAGAAATATTATGAGCGTACCAGGTAAGTATATTATGAAAAGGTGGACGCGAAAAGCAAAAAATGGTTACCTTGAAAGTAAAAGCTCTCATGTTAATGAAACTGAATTGGATCCTACAATGGAATCAAGTATGAGGTACAAAGACTTGTGTGCATTAACTGTTCGATTAGTTACAAGAGCAGCAGAGAGGAATGATACTACTAAATTTTTGAAAGATAGCCTTTACAAAGCATTAGATGCAATTGATGAAATGTTGCAAAGTAAAGAAGTGGTGGTGGAGGAGAACCTAATGTCAGAAAGTGAAGATTTGTGTCAAACTTCTAATCCCGAGATAAGTCGCTGTGATATAAATTTGAGCGGAAGGGACTCAATTAAAGGTGTAAAAAGAAAGACAAAATCTGCAACAAATAAAAGATTGAAGGGTGGCTTAGAGAACAATGCAAGACAGACAGAGTCTCTTACAGGATGCAATACTTCGGCGAATGTGGCAACTTCAGCCTCCATACCCATTGCAAATATTCAGGTTCTTATTTACATGGTTCCATGTTTAAATCTTTTAAGCATGTTATAGATATTCTGCGTACTTAAATTTTCTTTTCCCTAATATATATATATATATATATATTTCAGGATTTCGAAGTGAATATTCAAACTACTTCAAGTATGGCACATCCTGTATTATCATATCAACTTCAGGTATCTTTCAATATTTTCAATACAAAGACAAGTTTTTATCTATTTATTTAACAAATTTGCTTTTTCGTTTTGGTTATGGGCCGTAGCAAATGCAAACAGTTGATGTTTCTAGGGAGAACACTAGTATGGTTTACAGTCATCAAGATTCTGCGTCAAGACCATATTTACAGGTAATATACATATTGCAACCAGCTAGCAAAGTACTAGTGATTTGAATCGCATTTTAGGCCATTCTTGTAATGGCAAGCAATCAAACGTTTGCTCCTAATGCCCCCGCCTTCAATGCGTATGACATGACTGATTTACTTATGGGACTTTTTAAAGTACTATTTCTTAGTTTTGATTATTCTACTCTATTTTATAGATACTTTTAGTTTTCTTTCATTATTAATTAACTAAAAAATCACTTTTAACTGTCAGGCTCAACAATCTCTTGGTTTTAACAATGTTGGAGTTGGTATCTGTAATAAGTGTGGTTGTCGACTTCCATGCTTTGGTGATGTATTTTGTATTTGCAAGAGAGGAACTATTAGTCAACAATCTCCTGGTTTTGACCACGTTGGAGATGGTACGTGTAGTGAGAAATGTGGCTGTCGACTTCCATGCTTTGGTGATGTGTTTTGTGTTTGCAAGAGAGGAACTACTAGTCCGTGAGTTATTGTCTACAGCTGAGTCAAAGACTACATTTTGACATATGAGAAAGTCAATGCTCATGCAACTTTGAATGGCTTGCTCATTTGGCTTCCAATGTTTGATGAAATATTCTAGAAGTTTCAATTGTTCATATAATGCTGGTGGGATTTTGCATTTGTGTTACTTGCTCCACTTTTCTGTGCAATTAGATCATGGTTTTAGTCTTTTAGACAATTACGGCAACGATATGCTGATTAGTAGCATATACAAATGTCTTTTGGTTGCTCCAGTTTAATATGGTCGTGTGATTCTGTGGCTGTTGGTATTTATTTTTTGTATGATTGATCTTTCCTTGCCATTCTTTCCTAGTTTGAGATCAGCGACCCCTATTGGTGTCTTGAAGTTACCATGAATCCCTTTTATTTGCTTGCTATTTGACTTTGCCAATGACATTGCAGACCTCTGTGTCTGTGTCCAAGGTCACATGAATCATCTTCCCTTCCAGCCAGCTTAATCATGGACAAGTGAAAGATTTGAACTCAATTAAAGAGCTCGATCCCAATCCAATGAATTCAAGTATGCAAGGCTAAATAAAATCTTACGAAATCCTACGAAAGTAAATAATGTGGAAATGAGAAAAAAGATTTCATCATTTTGCAAATATTAGTAAATAATGTGGAAATGAGAAAAAAGATTTCATCATTTTGCAAATATTTTATGGCCTGTTTTGGTTGTTTGGAAAGTTAGAGAAAAGTAAAGTTAACATTTCTGAAATGTTAATTTCTTTTAAAAAATTAATATTTTAATTTACTTTTTAATTCCGGAGAATATGATTTTGAAGAATATAAATACTTTATTATATTTGGTTACATGTTGAAAAATACACTTGAATGTGAAAATTTGTTATTTTAGTTTATAAAACACCCAAAAATATTTTTTTTATATATAAAATTCAATTCAAAATATCGAAGAGATCCACTCGAAGTCAAATTATAATAGAACGTCGGTAAATTAATAATCTATAAATTAATAACTTCTAGCAATTAACAATTTTCTTCGGCCCCAACTTGAGACCAGTACAAAAAATGAAAAAAAATCGATAATATGATAGGATAATAATATTTCAGAAAATCTCATGTATATCTATAGGTCCCAACAATACCATAAATTAATAAATACCTTAAAAACAAAATAATAGTGATAATAACGATAGATATCTAATAAAATATAAACTATCGATACTTGCTTTTTAGTCCTAGGAAATGGTATGAGCTATGAATGAATTTTGAGTATTCAGAAGAGTTTTATACTTGATTGATTCGGATGAAAAACCAATTGCAAATTACGTAATTTAGGGACGTTTCTTTTTTTTTTTTAATATTGAATTTCTTTAAATCAATGATTTATTAATTATCAGTTATTTAATAACTTTATAAATTAATAATTTTTATTAGTCCCAACACTATTAATTCATAGAAATTCTACTGTACCTGAATAACAACTTATTCACGTCATTTACTAGTACATTGACTATTGACTATGTATGTGTCTGTAAATTTGAATTTATAATTTAACAAAAATGATGCAATTTTGAGTTAAATAAATCAAGTTAGATTTTATTTAGCATGATCGATGTGAGTTTTGAGTGTTAGACTCTTTTACCCATGTATTTTTTTATCTATTGATTCTATTCATTTATGTAAAATCTTTATGTGAAATATTAATAATTCTTTTTATTCTTTACAAAAAATCATTTTCACAAAGTGTCCAATTTCTATGTGGCCATCAACTATTTTGTAAATTAATAACGTAAAAATATCATTAATCAAATTGTAAAAAAAATTATACGTATAAATTAGATTACGATAAATAATAAAATATGAATGATGCAAAAATAATGATAAAAAAAGGAGTTATGGGTAATGTCGAAGGCGAAATCCGTTTGGACGAGGGTCAACGGTGTCTATGGACCTGAGACCTGCAAAACTAGGGTTAGCACTCCGACGAGCAAGTCAGTGTCAAGAGTGAATGTATAAAATGTGAGCCAAGAAGGGAGTAGTGAAATGAGCTTACTCTTCACCACCAAAAAATAGGGTATATATAGATAGAGAATTAATATTTCAATGATGGGCTTGGGCCATTGTTAGGGCTTTTAGCCGGCCCAATAAACTATAAAGAAATATTTATCGGACCCATGAATAGTTGTCGGCCCAATGCGAAATTGTACCTCCAACAGGTAATAAAAAGTGAGTAAATGTTAAAACACTAAAAGATGGGATCACAATATCACCTCTAAAGTGAGGAATCATAATTCAGCGATGTTGTGTTTGTTTTCCTTGATTTCATTATTTCTTTTTCTTTCTTGAAAATAAACAAGCTACATTTGGTAAAAGGTTGTTGAAACCCGTATGGGTCAATTTTTTATTTTTTATTTTAAAAGTAAACAAGCTAAGGAATTTAATAATTATGAAAATGATTATTTTACTAGATAAAACAAACACTTCAATTTAAAAGCAAGAAATCAAATTAATTTCAAGCCCAGAATCCCTAACAACCAAACACTGTACAATTTAAAAGTTTTCCTTTTCAAAGGCCTCAAACTAACATAAATCTTTCACCATTAATTCTATTACAGAACCCTTCAGAAAAAAAAAAAAAACAAACATCTCTCTGACGGAAAGGTAAAGATTGTTTCAACTAAATTGCCTCACAAAGTTTACATTCAAATTTATTTTGAGCTCCATTTTGAGAGTTCCATATGTACAGGCTCAAAATGAGAACATTGCCACCTCTAATGTCGAACTGCAGGAACTGACGAGTCAACCCAACCCAAAAGATCAGCTACTCCTGTACAAATATTTTTATCAGGGTGGAGTCAGAATCTCATGGTTCCTAATTTGAGTCTTTGCTTAAGAAAACACTACATGAAAAAACAGGAAGTTTGCTTCATTCTAACTAGAACCGTTGTCGAAACAGAGACTTACCGGATACGAAGCAGATAAGAGAAGCCAAACGAATTTGCTCAGAGATTTTTCAGAGGAAAAGGACTTGGTTGTCCTGGCACTCTTACTAATTTGAACTTGAAAATCAAGCTTCCCCTGGAATCATTCTCTTTCCACATTTTTGCAACGGTGTACAGTCCGTCATAAAAGAAGGAAGTCGACCTCGATAAGTTGGTTTCCCGAATCACCCTTATATGATTTTTAGTTTCAGCACTATTCATTAGAGCTAGATTTCCCAGCTCTGGCTTCTGATCTTCTGCTTCTCCTTGATTTCTATTCCACTTACATGCATTCCCCCCTTGCCCGCAGTAGATCAATGTCTCCTGGTTCTTTCTAAGGTTATCATAACCTCCAGAATCAACTACACTCACTGCAATCTTTCTTCCTCCGTTGTCCACCGTAAAATCTATACCCCCTCGCAGAGGTCGATGCAAACCTATAAGATGAAGTTCCATCCGGTAAATAAATCGATCACCAACCTCAACCCCAGGAATTGGTCCTAAGACAGCTTTTGCTGGAGGAGAATATCTTTCTTTAATCCATTTTGCTGCTTCGAGGTCAACCCTTCTAATTCCTCTCTTCTTTTTGTCTTCATTCTGTAGCATATTGCACTGCTCACGAAAACTACTGAGCAATCTCTTCACCCTACCCTGAGCCGGTGTCACCTTCACACTGTCCTCTAAACTCTCCCCTGATGTTGAAGCTCTCTGGAAAGCAGCATTATCTCTCTTTTGTCTGACCATCCTTTCATTTTTATCACCATCATGCATTTTCCCTTCAATAAAATTGTTGGGTTTCAAGCCACTTTCTCCTTTACAATGTTCAGTATGTGCACCATCTTGATGAGCAGAACACATTTTTGTGCTTTTAGAAACTTCTCCACGGGAGAAACTTCTTGCATGATTTTCTTCGGCACTCGAGCGCCTCTTGGAAGTTCCAGGGGAAGGTCTACTGACAGGGAACACGTTCAACAACTTGCAGGGAGGACGGTAGTCTCCATAAAGTCGAAGACTACTTTCAGAGCCTCGATTTTGTTTCTTGTGCCTCCCCACAGGCTGAGGTTCAATTGTTGAAGTTTTACTCCAGTGCTCCATTTGCTCCGCCATTCCTAAATTCGATCTCTTTTATTTCTTGCCCAATTCGATTGCGCAGTTCCAACAATGATACAAACTCCTCGCAACCATGCTTCAATCTTTATGATATCTGGCTTCAGTTCAGTAAAGAGAAGAAATGTATCCTTTTAGTGTCTATTCACATAAGTGCCAAACAACTAGACCAAGATTTCACCAATCAAATGCCATTTCAGTGTTGGTCATCAACCATCAGGAAAAACTAACTTAAACAAGCTACAACATGTAGATCTCAATGCGCATGAAGTAAGATATTTCACACGAAGTAAGCCACATAAGTATCAACAAATGAAATCAAAATAATCAATAGTCCTTCATCCCTTTATATAAGCATATTGTATGTACTACCACGAGATTTTCCCACTCACTTGAGCAACTCTTACATGTTCAAGATATCATCAAACCATGGCTAAGGCTACTAGTAACACATAAAGCATTTCATCTATCTAAAGTTTAACCAAATGAAATTGTTTAGAGTCTCATAGATCAAAAACCACTGCACATTATTATGACAACCAAAAAAAAAAAAAAAAAAATTAAAGCAAAAAAATACTTATGAACTTCACCAAAGTATGGTTTAAGTCAAGAAAAAAGATAAATAATATAAAGATTAAATACGTATTTCCAAATGCAGAACCGATCAGCTGCAAAGGACCAAAGATGGAGTCTTCTCGTCCATAAAGATCGAAGCGGTGGTTTTGTCGGTCTTCACCAAGACGCTTTTGGATAGTAATCCAAAAATCCCCTATTTTCGGCCTGAAATTCCGGAAGGAACCGACAATTTTGTAAGCTAATATCCAAATCCAAAAAAATATGCATGTTAATAAGCTCGTCCGGAAGGTTAACCGGAGTTCTTCTAATTTTCATGAAAATGGCGGAAATAATTAAGTTAGCTAGCTAGAGACTATTAAGTTCGGGATTCATCTTCCGGTCAAGAAAAGATCGGTAAAAAGAACTTCTTCTTTGGTTTGGAAAAGAAGCGTATTATGCGAGAATTCATTTTTATTCCACTCACCGGTTTTATTAGCTCGGAAGCATACCGACAAGCTCAGGTTCTTTCCTCAAACTCTGATCAACCGAACAAGCCTTTGTAAAAATTAACCGAACAAAAGAGTATAATAAGTAGGGAACGAGCTTTTCGTGAAGGAATAAAGAGCTAAGATGATGCCGGAAATGCAGAATGCATGGTCGGAAATAAGGAATTTTTGAGAAAACCGGCGGTCGGTTGGAGGAGAGAGCAGGGGAGGAAGGCGGTTATCAAGTGTGTGAGTGTGTGTTTTTGTTTTTGTAGAAAGGTGGTGGGGGAAGATGGGGGAATATGTATGAATTTTTGAAAATTGCAAAGTGTAAATAATTGTTTTACCCGGGGGATAAACGTAAATAAATAAAGTAAGCGTGGGGCGCATTAATGTTGCGGTTCGGTGTTTTCTTTCTTTTCTTCTTCTTCCCTTTTTTTTTTTTTGGTTGTCTTTTTCTGTTTTATGGAACGTTTTTACAGAATTTACAGGTAGGTAATTAATATGAGCACTGAAAATGGTTTTGGAATTTGGCTTGTTTTTGTGTTTGTTCTCTGTTCAAAACTGAATTGACCAATTTGCCTTTATGCATTTTGAGTTTTTACAGCATTGTTATCAGACTCGGACCGGAGGTCGACTCGGCAATGGTCAGGGGTCGAGCGACTGGGGGGTCGACTTGGGGCGATTCTGGGGTCAACTCGAATAATGTCATAATGATGCAATAAATATTAATTAATTAATAATTATTTTAATTATAATTTTATGAATTTTATGTATATTTATCGATTGTTAGAGTCACATTAATAGTTCATAATTTTCAAATGAGTGTTGATATGACCAAATTGAACGAAAGAGGTCAATTAGGATGATGTTATTATACTAAATAAAAAAATTTAGTTATTAAATTCTCTAAAATATTTTTTTTTAAAAAACCTTAAATCTCTTTTTAATTATAATAGTTGATATTAATATTTTTTAACAATTACTTATTATTTTTGTGAAGTAAATTTGTGTATTAATAAAATAATTAGGATAAATAAATTATTATTTAGAAAAAATTATTGAATTTGAAGGATAATTAATATAACATTAAGAAAAAAGTGCTCTGAGATTATTTTTTGTGACATATTAGAATTATCATATGAATTTTTCTTAAAATGATGGATGTTGGTAGGTTGTGTAGCGAAATTAAAAAAAAATAAAAGACAATTCAAATTAGTGAGTTAAGAAGTTGAAATTAAAAATGTATACTAAAATATCAAATAAAAAACTTTGAAAAAAAAATACTAAAAGTTGTGGGGCTATTTTGAACAAAATAGAAAAATTTGGCCTTGGAAGAAATGGAATCCATGGAAAATTGTGCAAATTTCGGTCAAAAAGTCAAAGAAACTTAAAACCCCAGTTCGACCCAATTTCGGCCGATTCACGGTTCAACCGAAATTTTGACCGGTTTTGACCGATTCACTTTTTGGCGATTTTATATGTTGTTAGGCTCGGCTTGAAGTCCAGTTCTCGGTTTAACCGGTTCAACCGGCTATCTGAGCCGTACTTGACAACATTGTTTTACAGTGTTGAAAAAGCAAAGCCGAAACCGATTCCGTTGAATACTACTGACAGAAGAAAATCCTGGCCTTTTGATTCTTTGCCAGTTTGTTGATTAATTGTTGTTCATATTGGCTTTAAAATTTTCAAATACCGGAGTAAGTTTTTGCTGGAAACGGCAATTTGGTAGGTCTTCTATATGAAGTTTTTTCTTATTTGTCGTGTTTGAAAATTACTTTTAACTAGCAACAAACACTTGGTCTACACGTAAATGTACTCTGACTAGTTACATTATGATAAGAATTCATTCAAAAGAGATTCTTTGGCCCGAATCTTGATAAATATATACAATCATTATGGATACCAAGTCTTATTATATATAAAAGAAATTTTTTCTAACAAAAATTAGTATGAGTTTGTTTTATCTATTATAAAGAAAAAAGGGTATAATGTCGTTCAAGAATATGCGTAAGTGGGAGTTTTGGGTACTTAGTAATACTAGTCTTAGCTAAATCTTGTCTTCAAGGAAAAATGTAAAACATTCTTCTAATCTCACCTTTCTTTTGTTGTTATATGTACTTTTGATGTCAAAGCGATAGAATATTCAACCAGTCGGTTTTCAGAATGGTTTGTTTTTGTGATGGAAAGTATGTGAATGCAAAAGAGGTTGGTTTTTTTTTTTTAACTATAACCAAAAAAGGGGTGAGGAAAAGAAAATTATTTGAACGTAATGCTACTTGTTTTGACTTTAATGATTACTAGTAGTTTTGTAAATAGTTCGAAGTGTATTGGAGCAAATCAGTAATGACCAATTTTAAGCCGCAAACACGATATGAATCCTTCGATGGTATAAATTTCGGAGTTGTAAAGCAAGCTGCAGCCTGTTTCCTGCAAAATTGTTCATATACCAGAACTTATTATGGTGGTACCGATTTGGTTTGATATGATGTATTATTTTGGTTCCACTTTAATTAAGAAAAAAAAATTAGAATAATAAAATGAGAAGGGGAAAATGTGATTGATTTTGAAGAGTCTTCCTTGAGATTACTGCTTCCTTGGCTGTTCGAGCAAAAAACTTAGGACCTTCCTTTCCTTGTAGTTCTCATGAAACTTTTGTAACACGTCATTTTTTGTTAAATTAAATTGATATACCAATAAGAAAATTTGAGGGTAACTATAATTTTCATCCTACGCATTACTCATTCTTTATGAAACTCTATTAAACAAAATTGGTTTTTTCCCCTCCCCTTTTTTGAGAAGGAAAACAAAGAGTAATGTGTATTATAATCTAACTTTCTTCTCTCTTCCTTGTTTTATCATTGGCTCATGTTCACAATTTCTCTGACTGATGTTGAGAAAGAAATTAACTAATGAGTTTAACATCGTGTAAAAAAATTAGGTCACATATTCATCATAACTCACAAGCAAGAATTTACACCATCTATAATTTAATTACGATCTATACACTTGTGAATGTTTGAATCAAGTATTGACCTTAAAATGCACAAAAGGATCATGACCATAACTTTTGATGGTAACCGTTTAATCTCATTTCGTTTTTTTTTTTTCCGTGCAAATTTCATTTACATTAGAGGGGGAAAAAAAGAAACAAAACCGAAAGTTTTGTCACACTCAACTGATTTGAACTCACACATGAAACGTGAACTAGTCTCAAATTTGTTAGAAAAAATTCGAATAAAATTATATGATATAAGTCTATTCAAATATGATGACATTTACATGGCTGAATCTTCTCAATTTAATTCAATATAATTTAGAAGCTTATCTTTGGAGGGAGTGATATGCTTATATTTTACCTATTTATTATATCCCTAATTTGTGATTTTTGCAATATATTTTGAGTACAAATATACTATTTATATGATTTTATCTTTATTTGTAGGTTTTGTACTCAAATGGAAAACTTGTTGAAATTTTGGGTTAAAATGAAGATAAAAGCAACTCAAAGGAAGAAATTGAAGCACTTGAAGAGTTGGAGGAATTTTAATTTAAATTGGCTTGAAAAAAAAAATTAACTTTCTTATTCATGAAGAAATAGGGTTTGACGAAAGCCTATAAAAAGAACATTAGTGTTTTATTTTTGGAGAGGAGTCTTAACCAAAATTACTCCACCGCCGAGACCACACCACCACCCTCACCACAACCCCACGGACCCATCACCATCACTCCACGTCACAAACCAACTCCCCCTAATCTCACGAAATACACCACCATCATCACCCTTATTCCACCAATATCCACGCCTCCATCATCCATCATCACCATTAATCTGCACATCATCATCGGAGGAGAAAGCAAGCAATTTCGGATTCTCGGGTTTTATTGTTTTATTTATTTTTTAGATGATGTGTACCTAAATTATTTAATCTAAGGTTTTGGATGTAGCCGCCGTACTAT